TGTTTAATTAGGATGTAACCGACTTCGGTAATYGAACTTGTACATAACAACGTTTTCGAAAAGAAATGAAYGTGTTCAGRATTTATCCACTGAACAATGAMTCTAATGTATTGTATATTGATTAATAATGAGGATCTCCTTCGTCAGCCTCGTCCACTGCCGTCCTGTTTCTCRAACAAAAATRTACTATCTASAAAATAATRTACTATTTTAACGAATAACATGTTGTATGTTGGCGCACTCAGTAAGYTGGTSAAGGGAMCTATGGTCGACTTCTAGAGACCTTATGAGACTAAGAARGCCTCAGATAAAGCCTCAGAAGAAGGYTAAGGYGAAAAACTTMTTCCTTATCTGCTCCTGTGATGATAGAGATTGTATCATTTTTYGCATTTGGATGTTGAAGATGAAGCGGATTGTACTTCTCAAATGCTGAAGTTGAAGTTGGTTSTACCTCTCTAAACAGTTCTTCTCTTTCCATRCACCTATAAATATTTGTAAGTAGGGCGCRCACGAGACATCAATCGATACTTCACGTGCTGATTTCATATCTTATCACACACCTTAATGTCCAAAGWTGACAAATTTAGACYGACRAGCCTGAAAGATTTCGTCTCACAATGARGAATGTTGAAAAATGTGGCGTAAAATTCACACAATTCTTGACARAGAAGGGTAACTAYCTAATAMCATTTGTTGATGCACTCAGTATAACAGATGTTATGTGGAAAGTTGATAAATATAAACCGACGAGCCCGAAATAATTSGTSTTAAGGTAAAAAATGTTAAAAWTCRGCGTTTAATTCTCAGAATAACCGTTGTACAAAAAGCTTCATTGAGACACTAAAACCAGTAGACCTTGTTACACGAATGCGATAAATATAAATCAACAAGCCCGAAAACATTTACCTTATGGTAAAAAATGTCAAAACATTCAGTGTCGAATTCACTGTACTCTTGATATAAGAGAACAACTATCAAATGATATTTATTGAAGCAGTGTCRCTCACTAATATAACACATAACAGAAAAACTCCCACAAAGAAATATAAATTAAAAAAATCTGCATAGCACGGCGAACGTGTTCGCACCCCTCCATGTTCGCGCGAACAGGTCGCGAACATGTTCGTGCGAACAGGTCATGAACATTTTTCTTTCGTAAAAAAAATTAAAAAAAAATAAAAATAAAAAAAATCGGTTTTTCATTTTTAACTCATGCTTGGCTGAGAATTTGAACATGACTCGAAGGCAAAAGTTGCTTGTTTTATTATTTTACATAACATATATTTTTTTTTAGAGTTTTTTAAGAACTTGTTTTTTTTTTTTTTATATATATTTTTTATGTTCGCGTTCGGAGGGTTTTGGTGGCTTGTTCGCGTTCTCCTCCGAACGCAAACACGGTGCTACGTAGGAATATTTGATTTAAAATATTAAATATTTTATTTTTAAAAATATTTATTCCAACGTTATTCTAAGTCTAAAAATGTCTGTTTTGTTTGACACGTTTTCGTCTAAAAAACGTTTTCTCTTTCAATCGCAACTTGTTTTTTAAGTTGGAATGAAAGTCAGGACGAGTTTCTAACATGCCTTAATTTAATTTTAATTCGGTGAAAACGAATATTTTCCTAGGTTGTTTGGCCGGACGTCCGGGACCCTTGGGTTGTCCGACCGGACGTCTGGTCAGACGTCGGACGGTCTCGGACTGGACAAGGGTTGTCCGACCTAGCGCAAAAAAAAAAAAAAAAAAAACAGAACTTTTTTTTTTTGAAAAAAATCATGTGGCTTCTACCTTGCATAAGGTGTATGCGACCAAAATTTTGGCTCATTTGAGCCAGTAGAAAAAAAGATAAAAAACTTTAAAGTTTCTAATCCCCACCTATACCCCTCCTATCCCCACCAAAACCCCTCGTACCCCCCCTCCCACCCCAAATAGCACTTTATCACTTAATGCTCGGAAAATTCTCAATTTTTTTATGGGGGGTCTCTATGCCATGCGCAACAGTGTCATAATTTTTTTATTTTTTTTATTTTTTTTAATGCCAAAAAGCGGTTGTCCGGGATCGCCGACAACCTCCCTACCGGACGGTTGGGGGAGACGTCCGGCCGAGACGTCCGGCCGAGACGTCCGGCCATCGGACGACAAGAAACCTAGATATCTTCTAATTAAGATTGGATTAACCTATTTATGATTGTAACTCCTGATAATAGAATGATAATCCAATTTTGAAAAAATCATAAATTGATCCAAACTTTCATTTCATCTTTTGCATGCAGTTGAAACAAGAAGGGATACCTCATTTGAGGTGAAGTTTTCAAGTAAGACAAAAAAAATAAAAATAGGAATGACATTGTTCAAGATTAAATAAAATTTTAAAGTTTAGAATGTAATTTTATTATGAAATTATTGATTTTTTTTTTTTTTTTTCTTAATAATTCGTGGTAGACTTCTTGAGATCTTAGGCCTCATAAAAGGTTGAGGTAATGAATTTTTCCTTAACCGTTTATGTGATGAGAGAGACTATGACTTATTTTCGGACTCGGATGTTGAAGCTAAAACCCATTGTACATCCCGAATATTGAAGCCGAAACCGATTGCACCTCTCGAATATTGAAGTCGAAACTGATTATACCTCTCTAAACATTTATCTTTATGATACGCACTTATGAATGTGTGTAAATACGTCTCAAACAAAACGTCAACCGACTTTTTGTATGCGAATTCCATATTTTATTACCAACCTTAATGCGCGAAAATTTTAAATTTAGATCGACAAGCCCGAAAAAGTTTATGTCGTGGTAAGGAATATTGAAAAATTTAACGCATAACTCACAAAATGTTCCACCGAGAAAGGGAGTTGTCCATTGACATTTGTTGAAGCCCTTAGTAAGGTAAAACTTATTGCGCCAAGTTGAAAAATACACACCAAGGAGCTTAAAGTAATTCATCTCAAAGTTCATTAATATAAAACGACGAGCCGAAATAAAATGATATCATTGTAATAAGTATTGAAGAATTCAACTCAGAATTCAAAGAATTCTTGACAGACGGGGGCAGTCGTCCAAGCACACTTGTTGAAACACTAAGCAATATGGCGAATGAATTTGTGACAGACTTCTTGAGACTTTAGGCATCGAATAAGACTAACATGAAAGAATTCTTCCTTATGTGATCCTGTGATGATAGAGATTATGTTTTTTTTTTCTTACTCAGATGTTGAAGTTGAAGCCTGTGTAGCACACCGAACATGTTCGGAGCTTTTCCGAACGTCCGAAAATGTTCAGGCGTTCGGCCGAACGCCACCCGAACGTGTTCAGCCGAACATTAAAAAAAAAAAAAAAAAAAATTGGTTAACTCGAGTTTGCTTACGAATTTGACCATACATCCTAGGCAAAATTTTTTTGTATTATTATTTTACATCACATATATATTTTTCAGATTTTTTGGCAAACCTTTTTTTCTTTTTCTTTTTTATATTCGCGTTTGGAGAGTTTCGACGCTCGTTCGCGTTTGGTCACGAACGTTCGGGTTCGGTCACCTAACCCGAACACAATGCTACACAGGTTGAAGCTAAGCTGTAACATCAGAAAATATATATATATGAGTTCTATTTGTGACGATATATATATATATATATATATTAGTTTGTTTGCTGAGGTATAAGATCGGATGACGAACATACTGCTAGCAAGAGTTGTTGATTAAGAATGATCTACTACRACTATAGATTTCAGTTGAGGTGCGGAATYGAAAAATAGACATKTGTGYTTGCAAAATATATTTTTCTYAGCCAAAAGTGTAATGCTAGCTTATATTTTGTTGAGGWTACCGTAATRGATAAGGAGACATACGTCCTTATTATGAGAGTTGCTGGTTCAGAGARGGCATTCACCSGATTGCATAATTTATAGAGCTGCGAGGTCGTAATGTTTTTKATTTYTKTAGTCYTTTTTAAGYTTTATGATATACTCAAAGTCAAATAACTCAATTAACAAATTAAGAATGAGGAATAAATTCAATTTTAATGAAATTATCACTTAACTCTATAATAATAGTACATAYTCAAGAATGACGATCATCGAATATCGTGTTAGTGAAATAAGTGACTATCTTCCAGTAAAGTTATGACATGTAAGATATATGTCTCCTTCTGGTTGAGGTATTATGAATATGGGTCGTGCAAAGCAAAGATGGAAGGTCTCTTATGTAAAATAAAAAATTGTAACATCTTTTACAAGTATAAAAAAAAAAAAAACTCTGCAATTAAGTGATAGAATATTCCTGAAAGGATTGAATGACTGTTTGCGTGAGGACTTAACGTGAAGTTGGCGTCATCGTCAATGGCGTGATCTTCGTGAAACTGCTGATTCGTGTTGCTCGGGGGACACGTGTCGATTTCTCCAGTCGATCGCCGCGCTCCGAACGGTTATTGACAAAAAGAGGGTGGGATGCGCCGCCGTCGTGACACGTGGCGGGTATCAGCGCCGCGTGGAAATGGGAAAGTAGACATTATACATGGAGGGGTGTCGACGGGGAGGGCTGAGGGGAAGCGGGGGTAAGTAGCGGTTCATCCCTTCCTCTGTGATTGGAAGCTCCTCGTAGTGGATGATCCGGTGAAAGTGGGGAAATCGGTCGCCGCTGTGAGGGAGGGAGGCGAGGTAGTCAGGGTAGAGGGTGGAGAAAGTGCGGAAGAGTGTCGCGCGAAACAGCTCGTGATGGCGACATGTGGGGATGGTTCGTGTGATTACGCAGTAGACTTCTACTGCGTTGCTCTGCTCCCACGCGACACTAAACAGAAGGACGTGCAAACAGAACATGGGGGTTGTGCATTGAAGGGAAGGATGGGGATGGACGGTGACGGCGAGACGGGTGGAGTAAAAGTGACGGAAGGTATTGGGGGGGAAAGGGTTGCGAGTGAAGGTGACGGGGGTAGAAATCTGACAGAGGGTAAGGTAATCAAGGGGACGGCGAAATAATGACCAGGGACGAAGGCCGATCCCCCGCATCGGTACGTGGACGAACTGGGGGACGGGCTGAGGTGAAAAGTGAGAGGGATCGGCTCCGTCTCCGTCACGATGCGCTCAGAGCCGCGGTTGCTGGATCGCCATCTTCGGGCTTCGGGGGCTCAGGATCCCGGGTCGGGTCGTCATTGATGCGCAGGTTCGCCTCGCTGGTGAACTCTAGCTGGCTTTTCCCGACCGTGATCAATTCCCTCTTACATGCCGCCTCGGGATCTTCCGCCTCCGTGCCTGTGCGCGCCGCTTCTTCCAGCAAGGCTTCCCACTCCGATCCGTCTTCCTCCTCTTCGCCGTCTTCTTCTTCTCCTTCTTCCTCTTCCTCCTCTACACTCTGCTCCCCTTCGCTGTGCTCACTATAACTCCGTTCCTCCGACGTTTCTTCTTCGGCGTCGTCCTCTTTTTCAGGGACTTTTTTTTTTCCTGCCTCCTCGGATGTATCTTGCTTCGGATAGAAGGCGAGATTGATGATTTCGGACGGCTTCAAGTACTCCTGCCGCGATGGCAGGGCGCTTTCACTTCCCGGTTCCTCCAAGCACGCAGTCCACTGAAGATACGGCGCCAATGTCCGTGTAAGGACGTGCGGAGCCGGACTCTCGTCACTTTGCGAAACAATATCGAGAGCGAGGTCGTCGACCAGTTGCGCGAGCGGGACGACGAGTTCCTGGACAATTAGCTGGCGAGGCCTGGACGCACCGATCCGAAAAGAAAACCGAGAAGATTGCCCTCGATGTTAGTTCTCCAAGCCTGGATAATCAGCAGCTCCAGGAACTCAATACACGCCTGATGCTCGTCGGTCCTCGTCCACGTCACCTCCACTCGGGCCAAGCACATAGACAGATCGACAAAAGTCTCGCGCCACACCCGCCAATGCCTGGGATCGAGGAGTGGGACTGCAAGGGGCTCGAGCAAAAAGGAAAGGCGAGGATGAAGATCGGATTGCCAAAAGGTGGTAAAAAGAAAGGGAAGACCAAAGGTGGAGAGAGGAGCGAGAGGAGCGTCGCGGTTTATTGGGGGCATTGGAAGGGGACGAGTGTGGGGAGCACCACTGCCGGCTGGCGCGTAGAGGTGCGGATCTCGTCGAAGTCAATCCCGTATGCAGGGACGAGGTTGCACCCGGAGAGCGCAAGACCATGATGCCACTCAGTCGATAACTGTTACGTCCACTCCTGTAATGAGGTCAAGATCGCGGTATGCCGAAGCAGGCTGACCTCGCTGATATCGCCGCTGAAGGCAGCGACCGTGGTGACATGGCTCGTTCCTGGAGCCGCCCGCCAATGAAATGCTACCACCTCCGCCAATACTACTGCGTGCGGACTTCCAGCGAATCGGATCGTAGCGGCGGCACACACACCCTCGGTGCAGAAGAACTGCGCTAGTCGTCGAAGATCAGGCTCGAGCCGCGGATGACAAACCTGCCGGATCTCCGAGATAAAGCCACGTGGCTGCAGCAGATGACTGCCAAGAGCGTGTTCCGTGATGAAACTCATGGCGAGGACGGGGAAGAAGATGAGAGATGGGAACAGGAGGGAGAGAACGAGGCAGGAGCTAGATCGTCGTCGTCCTCGTCTTCAGCAGATGAGGGAGACGGAGGGAGATCAGAAGGAGGGAGCGGACACATGTAAGAGGTATGGCGGACGATGGGGACAAAGTTATGGCTGGCGCTTGCCTCGAGCGCAATGCGCACCGTGTTGGCACCGTTGGGTCCGAGCTCGACAACGCGGAAACGGCCAAAGAACTTAGGAGCGAGTTTCCGGTCGCGTGCACATTTACGTACCTCCACCAGGTCCCCTGATTTATATTGATGTTGGGGACCGGCGTTTCCATTTCGGGCCTCGTAGTTGCGGACTTCCCTTTCGTGGGCTAGATCTCTCATTTTCTGTCTTTTTCGAGCTAGCTTCGGAACGACCCTATCCATTAAATCGGCGTGCCTTTTGGCCTTGGCCTTAAGGATGGCATGCGTGTCTCTACCCCTGGCTTCGGCAATTTTCGAGTTGCCTCGGTAATCAACACATGGGAGGCTATTAGTGCGAAGCTAAAAAGGGGGTGAACCCCGTGGATTCATGAGGGGTGGTCCGGTGAATTCCGACGATTTGGTATACGATCTCGGGCCAAGGACGCGTGTCACGCGCCGCTAGATTTCTACGAAGGGCAGTCTTAATCATGCGATTAGCATTTTCGGCCAACATATTCGATTGCGAAACGTGCGGTGCCGTATGTCGAAGTGTAATGCCTCGTCGCGCGAGCAATTCTTCTACCTCGCCTTTGAATTCGGATCTGTTGTTTGTTAGAATCTCTTTCGTATCTAGATGGGTATAGAGGAACCGATCGATGTATGTGACTATTTTTGCGGCCTTACGGGTTTTGCAGGGGTATACCTCGATGTATTTGGAAACATAATCTATTAAAACTAAAAGGATGGAATATCCACAACCGTTTGGGCCATGTGGCACGTCGATATCTGTCGTATCCATACTGACTCGTTGAAAAGGGCGCTTTACTTCCGTCGGCACTATCGTGTTTGGTCCCCTTATTAGGGCACGGTCGGCGACACAGACCAGACAGTTGGCGACTAAGTATCTGACATTGTCCCGTATATTAGACCAGAACCATCAATTCTGATCTATAGTTGCTTCAGTGACACGTATCGCGAAGTGAGCAGTCTGCTCTTCGTGAGCAGATCGGGTCCAATCATATGTTTAGAATGAATGGGGAACCGTCAACCACAAACCTGATCCGTAAGTTTTACGCTTTTCCAGGTGACCATTAATCCATCGGTAATCTCGGGATCTCTCGGTAGCCCGACGTCTATCGTGCTTAGTGAGATGATCCAATGGTAACCCGACCAATTTAGCTAATAGAATTTTATTCGTCTAGACTTCCGCTCGTCGGTATTTCTCGTCATATTCAGGGCCGTCCGTTCGAGCAGCCTCGAATCGAACCTCGGTAGGGAGTTTGTCCGTTTTACACAGAGGGCAATTCCATTCCCTACTATTCGTTTGGTATCGAACGCATGCACCGTGTGCACGATTGACACACGTGACACATTCCACTTAATGAACGAATCCGGTATCAAAAGGATGGCAGTCCACCCTATAAACTCGTGTAATACACGTACAAAAATAACACAATTTATCAGGAAGGGTGGCGAAGAAGGCCGAGGAGGCGAGAGGGGCGGAATCAGCAGGGGAAGATGGGGTCGCGGAGGCAGGTGGGGTAGCCATGATGAGAGGGGAGGAGAGAGAGAGAGAGAGAGAGAGAGAGAGAGAGAGAGAGAGAGAGAGAGAGAGAGAGTGAGAGAACCGGGTTGCAGAGAGGGTAGAACACTAACCTCGTATCACTTACTCCTTCGACAAAATTTCCACTTGCCCGTACCGCGGCCCGTTCTCATCCTTCGGATCGTTCCAAGGAATCACTTCCTCGCTCTTGGGGACCTTCTCGGGTTGGTGCAGTCGTGTCAACCCGTCAGCATTCTCGTGCCTCTCGTGCTTCCGATAACGAATGTCAAAGTCCATGCTCTGTAGCACTGTTGCCCATCTCCCGATCATGCCCGAGTAATCCTTAAATTTCTTCAGGGCTGATAATGGCTCATGATCGGTGACCAGCGTGAACTTCCGCCCGTACAGATAGGCTCGAAAGTGACTGATCCCCCACAGAGCCACATAGCATTCTCCTGTCGGGGCGGCGTAATTGCGCTTGCAGGCAGGCACCCACTTAGACGCTTATTCAACCACGCATTCGAGACCGCTCGGTCCCACCTGGGCCAAGATCGCCGAAATTGCCTCCGGTTGTCAGTCCGTGATGAGGACAAAAGGCTTTTCGGGATCCGGCCTTATAAGGACCGGGACCGCTTGAATTTAAAATTTAGAATGTAATTTTACTATAGAATGAATATTTAATTCTGGGAATTTTTTCTGTTGATGGACATTAGAGAAAATAGAGCTGCTAGTGCGAACAGAAAATACAGTCGCAATCATTTGGGATTTAGCACGGCTGATCATCTCGGTCTCTCTAACTTCGGCGTCAGTTTTTGAATCAACCGTGGTTTCTTCCACGGTTAGTCCCGTTAAATCCATAATTTCCTGCATCAGATCGGGCACATCGTCGATGAGAGCTTCGGCTTCTTGTTTTATCAGAGCGATGGTCCATCCTGTTGTAAGCCGCGACCTTGGAGGGGAAACAGAAACACCCGGGTATTGTTTCGCCTGTTGATAGCGTGCTCAGAGGGAAAGTGTTCCCTCGTACGGGTTCCAAATGGTCTACCAGGTCAAATATTTGCAAGATGGGTTCTCTGAGAAAGGTCGAGGGACGAACCTGGGTTTCCATAGGCGCGAGCTCGTTGTCTTCCAGACTTAAGTAAAAAGTTCGTGTGGTTCTGGGAACCATTCGAAATTCCTCTAGAGTTTCATGCTTGAAAAATTCGACCAAGTGTTTTCATTCACTCTCACTAGGCATCTCTTCTTCGCACTCCTGTTCTTCGAATCCGCTGCTGTTATCCGGGGATGAAAATTCCTCGTTATCGGAACCTTGAATCATCCCTGTCAGAGCAAAATTAGGATTTTTTTTTACTGTTCGAGTTGAAATTCGCAACGGAACTGTCTGAGGCTTTCCTCATGTTTGCGTAAGCACCAACTGCTTGGAATCGAAATGCATGCGGACACCTACCGCCATTGCCCAAGGCAGTCCTAACAACACCGAATATGAGTGCACATCTATGACCAAAGTGTTAACGAGGACGTGTACTCATTTAACTTTCACGGCCACATTTTCAATGACTCCTACGATATTCATTGCTTCCTCGTCAGCAGAGACGTAATGGTCGTTGCCAGATTGAGGGAGAATCAAATTGAGTCGTTCCGTTCTTTTTACCGTATCTAATGGTATAACGACCGGTGACTGCAGAGGAGCCGGTATCGATGAAAGCGTTAAAAGGTTTGCCCCATACTTTGCAATCACATTCAACACTTGTTCAGAACACCGATCGAGCTCGCACGAAATGATCTTTCTCAGCTAAAGAAATTGTAGCTACTTGCGTTGCTTCGGGTTCAACAACTTCGGGTTTAGGCGGTGCAACATCCTCCGCTCCTTCTTCTTTTTCAACATTCGTAGTATGCACTAGTATGTAAAGCGCTTTTGATTCTTCTGTCATTGTTGCAGCAGCTTGTCATTTGCTGCTTCGGTTCTGGTGAGCAAATGTCCCACTCGGACCGAACGAGAATGTCCAGTTGCTTAAGCGTTCATAGTACATCAATTTCTCCCGTCCAAAACTGTGGTCCGGGGTTAGATTCGCGTTCGACCCATTCAAGATCGTCTTGGGCTGGTCGGACTGCTCAGATCATGCCGGCGAGATGAAGGTATTCGACCGGATCAATCATGTCAGCAGCTTCGGAAGAAGAAGTTCCTGAGGTCGATGCAACTGCCATTAAGGGGGAAGGTCGCTCAAGGGCATACGCAATGGTTTCCTCGCTTCGGGCCGTATCCATTAGTGCGGCCACTCGTCCCTGATTCAGAGCTACGGGGGCTGCGGCAGGTGGAGGCTGATTCCGTTTTGGCTGCGGTTAGTCCCGGGCAAAATGTCCGGGCTGTTTGCAATTGTAACACTCAATTTTCCCGACCAGGTTAGCTGCATGAGGGAACTCCGGTGCATGTCCAGGTGCAGGCGGAGCAGGCAAAAGCAGGAACGATGCAGGAGCGGGTCGAGCAGGAGCCAGGTTGGGCTTAATTAACCTGGCTAATATTTGTTCCATTCGATCCATGTGAGCCGCCTTGATTTGGACCAGATTGCTCATCCATTCAGATTGTGTAGTAGTAGTTATATGGATCATCTGTGCCAAATGCATATTGGTTATGAACAGAGAGGCCGAATCTTGAGAGCGTCTGGGTTTAACAATTGCTACCTGTTGGTTCATTGAGAGAGTCGGAGGAGGGGGAGAAGGAAGTGACGGGATATTAGAGGCAATCCCTTCAGGAAGGTCATGATCGGGCCGGGGATAGAATCGTTCTACCGCTCGCAACCACGATCGTCGTTTCGCCGCTACATCATGAATCGTGTCTGTAATGTCTTCGTCTCCCTGGCTGATATACTTTTTTGTGTCTGTTAGGTCTAACTCCAGCGCTTTGGTGATGATAGCGGAGAGCTGGTTCGTTTTAGGGGGGACCTTTTTCTGCAACTCAACTTTTAGGGTCAGACTTCGTAGATGATCGATGAACAAATCTCGAGCGGACTTTTCATCTCGCCCTCATTTGTCCAAAGTAGTTTGGAATCGATCCACGAAGTCAGGAAGCAACTCCCCTGGTTCTTGCGGTCGAGTCTTGAGTACATACCAAGCGGCGGCGTCGCTGACCGTATCAAATCTGGCCAGTAAAGTTTGCTTGAAGGTATTCCAATCTACCCATCTGTGTTTCTTAAACCAATCATGCGCCGTGTTACGAAGCAGCAAGGTGATGACGCGGGGAAGATCTTTTGCGCTATATCCTTGAGCTTGGACGGCTTCCAACCAAGCTTCGGGGTGGGTGTGATTACGAAAGAAAGGAAAAGCGGCGGGAATACTAACAATCACCCTGGAAGGAGCTGTGTTGTCGTCGGCCATTGGCATAGCCGGTCGAGCCCCACCAGATCTTGATATGGTCACTTAGTGATCTCGATGAGCAGGTTGAGGACTTCTTCTACCTCTCGCCAACTCGACTTACTATCATCAGAACCGACACGTGTCGGCTCAGATACCAACCTCACACCCTGTGCTGTCTTCCGTTCGGAGTGCTAAAGGTGCGGAAAGAAGTCCCAGGAAAACATCAAGATGGGTGTGCCAAGGATTTGTGGAAAATTGAGTGTGGGGACATAGACAAAACTGAAATCCCATGTGTTGGCCTAATGAAGTAAGTCGGTTGTTTTTGCGCGTCGCGGATATTGCGCGAAAAGAGAAAAATCCAAATTCAATCCAAAAAGTATTGTCGAACTTCCCACCACGCTACGGATCTTCGTTTAGAGCGGAAGGGCTGCGGTACACTCCGTGTGTTCCGTTTCCGTATCAAGTCCCGACGTCGCTCGTTGGTCAGGACCGAGTCCGACGTGGAGGGTCTAAGCCGCGTGGCTCTTTCTTTGTGCTCGTCTTCACTCTGTATCCGGTAGTGGAAGCCCTTTGCTTCGTAGCGATCGAAACGTTGGTACTCCGTGCACAGGGTTCGAGGCCAATGGGGCGCCACTGCCGTCCACGGAATGACGATCAACTCGTTAAATGACAATAGTACTGAGTAAGGCGGGTAGTGCGTATTGACAATGACAAAGCCCGCGTCCACGAATCCAGAACAACGATTTTCAGAAAGGAAGTAATATTGTCCGCGATCAGTGCGACAACTTCTCGTACGTCCCACTTGCAAACACGTGTCATTTCCTTGTTGTAAGGGAAGGGGCACGTTGACGAGGGAGATATGAGAGGTTGGCGCTTGATCGAGGTACGCCCTTCAGTCCACATGTCAATCAATCGGAATGAATTTGCAGAAAACCCTGGGACGTCATCAGAAAGTACAATCGTAAAAACCAACTAACATTTTCCTTCCTTTCGACATGAGAGAAGCATCGTACAACCATGCAATAATCAGGGTGAAGTTTCGAGGGATCAAACCGCGACTCAGGTCCAACAGATCAGATCGACAGAAATCCGAGGCGCGTGGCTTTTTCGAGGCGACCTCATAGGCTGTCTGCAGATGTCATGCAGTATAAGGTAGATTGCATGCGCAGTGTGTTCAGAACGACAGATCTAAACACTCTTGCATTCTCGAACAAAATCCCGTCGAGTTCCGGGTCTAATCAACACAACAAACTCACATACAAGCATTCCTATGCATACATCCACTGTGGAAGGTGTGAAAATGACAATAGTGCATCGAAAACAAATCGGGGGATAGTACACACGCATCCACCGTTCACAAGACAAGATGGTTGAATTCTTTTGCATCTGGGGATTACCCAAGAAACTAATGGAAGAGTTCCGGAAGAAGTTCTTCTTCGCAGGAAATCACAAGAGTTCACTTCGGTTCATAAGAGAGACAAACTCATAACACATCGTCATTCAAATCAGAGAGAGAGAGATGGGAGAGATAGGCGAGAGATTTCGAGACAGGAAACTATGAGATTCAAAAAGAGAACGTTTGGCTTCGTAGCTGTGAACTCACACCAAAGAAAAATGATCCGCAACAATAAAAGCGCATTCGCCATGAAATTCCAATATAGCCTTGGGCCAATCATCCACCCAACTCCAATTACTGATCCTCATACCCGCACCGATGATCCCGACCGTCGCGTTGTCGCGCGAGACGGTCCTGCACCCCTCCTGGGAGCGCTGAACCTCACGATCGTGTCACGCAGGATTTATTTTCGATGAATCAACTACTCACCACTCCAACCGTGCGCACGTGCTATACCTCTCACGACGCCCTGCAACAGGTCGGGACGACGCGAGGTACAACTTACCTCTACCCGAAGGGTTGTCACCACCCTCAGGTAGGCGTATCCCTGCTGAGCTACCGGCCCACGTACGAAGGTTTTTACATGCCTTAGCAGAGGTAGGTCAGCCGAGGGCGTTTTGCTCGATTGCTGTAG